ACAAATTATTTTCTGTTGTTAAAGTAGTCACCTAGCCAGCTAGGCATTTCCCATCCAATTTAATTAGGGTCAGTTTGGATCGTGAGATAGTGTTAAATGTAATACTAAACTCTAAAAATCTACGGACTTATATCTTTCCCTTGTCCAAATGCTGCATGCCGTGGTTAACATAACTGGTCATGGCGTCTAATGTGCACAGATCTTTCATGTATGCGAATTTGGAGTGTTCTACAAGTGGAAGCATTGGTCTCGTTACGTAAGGACAGATATAACGCTCTGGGGAGTTTAGAAGAATGGAAGAGATGGCTATGGGGTAATAGAGGCTGAGGTTCACTGAACCAGTCTTATTCTTTGGCAGTGAAACAATTCCAACATGTTTCCAAGAATCAGCACTACCCCAAGAGAGACAGGAAATCAAAGATTTGGCAAAAGATATGTGAGAGTTTCTAAGCGCAAACAGACTCACTGTGTCCGGACCACACTAGATATCGAAAAGATGGCCGAAACAACTGAAGACATCAATACTCGTGAATCGGACAACAGCGGCGCATGATACATCAAGATCTAGGGTCTTCATGTGACGAGTTACAGACGTTTGGCATTTGCACCTCAGGAAGAACCGGTTGATTGTGTTCAAACTGACCAAAGAGGGAAGAATCTACGATTTTGAGCTACACAGTTGCTTAATGCCATATCAAAGCTGCTTGCCCTGGGATCGAGTGAGAATCGCCACAGCAAACGCATTGTTGAGACGATTTGATTCATATAGCAGGTACAACGGTTATGTGGGCACCATCATGACAGTTTGCACAGAAGTTCTAGAACTTGTTACCAGAAATAAAAGGCGTGCCGAAGAAAGTGTGGAAGCGACGGTACAAGTCATTACCAAGCTGAACTCTCGTAAAGGGCTCAGGATACGTTTCAAAATATTCCTCTCTTAAGAAAATAGCCATTAGCAGATGAAATGACATGAATGCTGGTTTACCAACTCTGCTACATCCGTATTACCAAATGCTTTTGTATAGTTCAGTGGCGACAGTGGACTTGAATCTAATCGAATACCGATATTTGACACGTAAGAAAAGCTGCAGATCTTGAGGGAATATTTTTACGTATACAGCCAATTTTTTCACAAATTTATACAGTACTGTTGGACTGGTTTTGTGATGTCTATCCTGTTGTATATGCACTTTTGCCAAATAAGCAGGTAGCTACATAAAAAAGACTCTTTCAAATGATCAAAGCAGCAGTGTGAGTATTTCACCTATATTCGACTGCTTGCGATTTCGAAATTGCACTGATGCATGCAATGAAGAACGCGTTCGATCTCATCGTTGATTTTACTATATGAATTAAAGCATGAAGAAGCGTTTCGGCAAATTGTGTCGGTGTTTATAAAATCGATGGTGATTTTGTCTTGAAAGCGATGATGATGGAAAAGTTGGAGCTGGAGTCTATGTCTATTACTGAACTATATCAATGAACTGCAGCCGCTTCTGGGGTGGTTTAAAGACAACTACATCGTTCGCTTGAACATGGAAAGAATACAAGGCGTCCAGCGTTATTTCCATCAGAAATGTAGTCGGTTTATTGTAAGGTGATCCACGATGAAAACTGTACGAATAACCATGCGGAGGCAATTGATCAATGAATTCAGACCGAGTTTAAAATCACGTGTCGCTATGGAATTTAATTGATCAGTTCTACAAAGTGCAAAAAGACCATGAAATATACTGCGAACAACTTACTGCTGGTCCTCAGTCACCAGTCAAATTGAAGAAATATTGGGACGCGAATGAGAGTACTTTATTGTGAATAAATATTACCATAGGGATGGTATTACTTATCTGCGTGGGTTGGCTAATGACTACTGAAATGGCAGCGATTCACTTCACAAAGTAAAATTTCTGTGATAAATCTTTTGCTTCAGTTCACCTTATTCAACTCCATTTTATTTAGTTAATATTCAAGCTAGTTTGGCATAATGAACTGACGTACATGGAGAAACAAAATAGCGTCGAAGAATTTCGTTGAAATTCATAAAAAATTAATTTCTGACATGTTATGTAATATGCCTTAAGAGCCTTTTGAAATACAGAATGATAAAACTGTACTATAATAATGACGAGTTACATATTGTATTCTTTCGAGCAATGCACAACAACTGGATTATGTTTGTACTGCACCCAGATTCACCAAATCAGACGGCTAGAATGCGCTTGCCGCACAACCGAAATGAAGTTTCAAAATTACAATATTTACAAGCATCGATTCCACACCCCTCAGCAAAATACAGTTGACTGGGGTGTACAGTATTTTAATTTTTATCATAGAGATTGAATCGTGTAAAAATACAATATGATCAACGGTACAAGTGAACCAGAGCAGTTATATACAAATAAACATTACAACTACGACTGACTGCAATTCAAATCGCGTTCCTCCGAAAACTTTCGTTTTTTTGGAAAGTGCTTGGGATCGGTAAGTGCGTGCCTTTTTCTGTCCAGTGGACATTTGGCGGCCAGCTGAAACCCTGAGTTCGAACTATTTGAGCAACCGACGCAGTAGTCGTTTTTCAGGCGCCTGGAACAGGTCGTCTCTAAGTTAAGACTGCTTATGAGGTAGGAGGAGCGCGCCGCGGTCTTCGTGCCATGCTGCCAGCTTCTCGACCGTTTAAATTTAGTAGACCTGGCGAAGGACGATAGACAGCTGTGCCGCGTACTTTCGTGCAGCGACCCGTTTCTCAACTTATGAATGATCATCTTCGATCTGTTTATACTGTTTAAGTGCTTGAATTTGTAGCAGTGCCGGAGTTTCGGTGATGCAGCAGGAAGTTCGACCGACAAGGACTGGGTCCGCATGCGAGTCAAGGTTTTGCACTTCAGCCGGGTGCAGTAGCGAAAAGACGAAGATGAGGAAGAAGATGAAGAAGAAGAGGAGGATGCTACAGAAAATGTCTGTTGACCGCCGTCACTAGTCATCGACGCTAAACATTCCGTGTCATTTCCAATTACTTCCACCACGTCTTCTTGAGTTCCTATTAAGGAACTGGTGCTTGTGGTGCAATGCGACATTTTTTGTGCCCTCCAACTTCCGTTATACCAGCGATTTGATAATGAAGTTCGACTGATTTCCAGCGTCGCAGTCCTGTCGTGCTTATTCTCTTTCTCTGATTCGTCCACGTGAGAGTCTTTGCCTTCTTTCTGGCGGAAAGCCAACACCTCCTCGCCGTGCAGGGTATATCCAGGGCCGCTGAAGAAGGATGATGGCATAAACGTCCCGTTTTCCTTCATCTTCGTCGCCACAAAGTCTTGGCTTTGGTCGAACGACTCGACGATGCCATAGTAAATAAGCTCGACTGGCTTCGTCAATAAGGCAGCCGTAGTCTTAGCCGAAATCGCTATGGCAGCCGATGCGGAGTCAACCAGCGCCTTCTCAATGTCTAAGTTGCGGTCCTCACATATTGTCGCGTTCGAGTCGTGCTCTATCATAGGCGAAGCCATGTCAAAGAGCACGACGATGACACTGACGTTGTCCGCTCTAGCACTGCCCCAACGGATCAACGCATGTCGTGCGATCCATCTGGCATGATTTGTCTGCAGGCCGTTTCTCTAAAGCAAACATGTACAACTCTCGACTACATGGCAAGTGGAAACTGTTTGCTTCTGAGTCCAACGTACCGGATTCTCCATTGGACATTGCTCTATTTCTTTCCATTCATGAGAATTTACTATATCAATCGCGTTTTGACAGTTGAGGACGTTCCAAAGACCGTCAGAGCCAATAACAAGGCAGACGTCTTCCACGTTCAGCGGCAGTACACTGACATCCGGAATCGGACTAACTACAAAGTCGTCCCTCATCGAATTGTATGACCATAAATCTCCTACATATCAAACACATGTTACATGCAACAGAACAGCCAAATGTCAATACAAACGCTGACACGTTTTCTCTACGTACCTAAAGCCCTTGCTACCGCAAGAAACGGAATTTTCTCTATTTCGGTCGACCTTCGGATTGGTCCCTGATGACCTCTCGTTGGTCGTATCCAAACAACCCGCATCACACCCGCTTTCGTCATTATTTCACCTCCCAGATCATAAATCCGTTTTTGTTCGCCTGGAGTGTCAGGTTTATGATCCACGGTGAGACGAGTTCCGCCGATTGTGCCATCTAAAGACAAGTATGTATATACACAATGTGGTAAAGCGGTCTTACGTTGCACAGATCAACAATTTACAGGCAAAAACATTAACCATAACATTTTAAATCTTTCTGATTCGACCTATGACCAGGTTAGCAGAAAGTAGTCTGAGAACATCTCTACGGGATGTTGCAATACACGACAAGAATGGCAGGTCTTTCAGCAGAATAAGTACAGATTTCTGCCAAACAAAAAACGGCAATATATACAGAAACAGGGTAATATTATGCTAATTTCCATTTTGATGACATCAGTTAGGAGTGCCATTGCCAAAAGCAATATCTGTCATTCCCAGCATAGTACGTAGCCAGCTGCTTTCACTGCACTCAGAGTGGTACTCGTTTATCTCATTTGGAAGGTAGTGTTAGTGACTTGCCCGGATAACGAACTGAAATTTTGACGCTGTTTCGTTGGAACTACCGTAAGAGACATCGACAAGTGATAAGAACAGCAACAACAATGTTTTTAACCGCAAACGTTCATCAAACAAGACTAGCTCTTACCGGGTCGCCTCGTCCCTAACGCAATCGCCGAGTCTCCCACGTGGCCAGTGTACAACTTTCCATTTTTTATGAAAGCGATTGTAGCCGTGGTCCCAGAGGTGCTCGTAAAACCCGACGCTGTTTTAGGCCATTTTTCTAAACGAAAAGCAATGAAAGTTTCACTTAAAGGTTTCTTCGATCTGGCAATAGTAGAAATATCGTGAAAAGACCATCAACTTAAATCATAAGTCGCAGACAGCGCGAAGTTGCGGTAATATGAAACCTAAGCGCAAGTAGCAGCAAATTACATACAAAAAAGCGTTTAGAACCGCAGACTGGAGAAGCGTTTGTTTTCACAAATTTTATACACATGTGATCGGCTACGACCTCAAGGATATCGACCTTAAAACAACAGTCCCATAGGTGCTTCCTGATGATGCCGATGACAAATCCGTCGAAACGTTGCATCGGTATTCATTCATCCTCAATAACCGCTTTTCCTTTCGGGTCGCGGAGGCAGACGTGTCAGACAGTGTTTCCAAAGTTTCCGATCCTGCGCCAGTTTGAGCTTTGGCAGAAGAGTCCACAAATGGAGTGTGGAGCAGACTCTTTACATATGTTAGCACCAGCTTAATCTTGGTCGTCCCCTGGGCCTTCTGCCGGTCGGTTGGGCAAGAAATAATTGCTTCACCCTCCTTTCTAGAGGCATTCGCAACACATGCTCAAACCATTGCAGCTGTGATTATCGACCTGAAGAAGCAGCGGCTGTACACCAAGGATTTCACGGATGTCTGTATTCCAAACCATGTCAAGACGTGTAAGTAGAGCGACTCATCTCAGAAAGCCCATTTCAGCATCGGTAGTAAAATTTTTCTTGTTATTTGCAGAGAATTATGGAGTCAAAAGATGTGTTCGCTTCTGTTTGATGCTACGAAACTCGTCAATGAATTGCAACTAAGCTTCATATAAGTAAGGAGCACTAATCTCGAACAACACTGTGCTTAGTTAAATTAGGTGCATGTGGCAAATCATGGCAATCTAATTTCTTTAATCACAGCAAAAATAAGTCTGTGCAGTAGTTTTGAATTTTTTCCAAACATTTTTAAAAGATCGAGAAAGTCTTGCTGGTTTAAGCTGACTTCAGGAACCAATAAATTCCCAGTAAGCAAGAAACCAAAAAAACCAAACCAAACCAAAAACCACATTTCTATCATCTTTTGATAAGTTTATAAGTTAAGTCGAACGGCAAACAGTTTATAAGTTAACATTTTCATACTTCTCAATTTTCTCTGCTATTTATACTGCACTATATTATTTTGTATCAATGATTATGTACTGAAATCTAATTTGCGTGTGCATCCCGCGAATGAAACTAACAAAATAACATTTAACACGTGCTGTAAACAAGTAAGCAATAATATATGCTTAACGGGTGAGAATGGGTTAAATCCGACTTAAGTAAAATTTGTGCAAAACCACCAGTCACTATTCGACCCACCGTAGTGATGTGGTTTTAGGTCCATGCATTTCAAATGCTCAAGGTTCATGTAACTTTGGAATGCTTAAACGACCCTACACATAACTGGCAGCAAAGGAAAGGTGCTCCAGATCGCTTAAATCCGCTTAAGCAGAACGAAGTAAACGATTTTATACAGGTTGCTTCTCTCATTTTAAGGGTTACGTTTATTATGTCAGCATAATGCCATTAGAAATTAAGCATCTTCAAAATGGACCTATATCCAATAACACCCATATAAAATATACCATCCCATCCTCCAATACAGATTTATAAAATTAGAGCAAATCTTCCTGCTATAGAAATACGCCGGAAAAATACAGTAACAATCGGAGTTTCATACCTACGACCTTCCACATATCATTGTGCGTCTGAACGAAGCCGTTCTTAATCGCCGAGAGTACTTCGTCATCGTCAGCGGACCAAAAACCCTGCTGGTTGATGATGTTCTCTCGGAGATGAGTCTTGGCAAACTGACTGGCATCCGCCCCACCGTGTCCGTCGAAAACACCCATGAAGATGTATTCGATTTCACCGTCATCATCTCTTTGGCAGTGAATTGACACTCGGTCCTCCATGTGCTTCCGTCCACCCTGATTGCAACAAGCGCTGATTCGCAAGTTCACCCATGAAGGCAAAGCCATCGCCCGATCGAGCATCCGGCACGTTCGGTGCTTTCTTCAAAAAGAAATCGCAAAAATGAAGCAATTCACACAGACATCACTTGATTACAGACAAGATTATTTCAACAGCGATTTTAGGTGGCTTTCTTTCAGCGCAACTGACCTGTAATTATGACAGCAGAACTTATCTCCATTCGTTTTTTTAAAGCCTGATTCTCATTTCGAGTGGCGTTGCGCACACAGCTTTCCTGGAACTGGTCCCAGTGAGATTCATTATTTTTAGAATATTTTAATTACAGCACTCTACCTCAACTTCAAATCCATCGTGTGTAAATTGAAGGATTATGCAGAGAACACAGGAAAAGCGCCTAAGCACGAGAATTACAGTGTAATCTTTGTCGACAATTGCTGAGACAGAAAGACATTAGACTGTGCTCCAATAGAGAGTAAACGGCCAGTGAGAAGACTTCCAAATCTATGGTGGGGTGAACCAAAGTCTGTTGGATCAAGATGAAAAGGAATCGCAGAAAACCGAAGTTATGGCAAAGCCCAAGCAGTTCTGCTGGTCTGGCAATCAGGACTTTTGCCTCGAGGCTGAAGCTGCAGTTCTGCTATTGGTTCTTTCAAGCGGTATCAATTATCCATCATGGCCGGTGATCTCAACAACCAAATCGGCGCTGAAAATGACAGCTGGTCCAGCGTGCTAGGTGGACATGACAGTGTTGCTGCATAGCCAGTAGCATAGCCCACCATTTATTAGACCTTTGCGCCATGCACTACCTCGTCATCGGTTAGATACTATTTCCTCATCGTCGCATCCAACACCACACGTAGTCAACGGCAGGAAGTCGCTTTAGAGGGCAAATTGATCAGTAACATGATGAAGTGCCCCTTCCTCCACCCATGACATTGAACTGACCATTTCCTAGTGGTCGCGAAGCTCTGTCTTTGTCTAGCAACAATCCACGGAGAGGGGAGGGAGCGCCTGCTTTGATAAACAGAAGTTGAATGATCTTGCCACTTGCCAGATGTTCCAGACAAAAATCAAAGCAAATTCGCTACATGCAAGTATGTCACCATCCCCAAAGACTCTGAGCTAATTCTGTAACCGCCTTAAAGACGGAATCGTCGACGCCGCTGACAAGACTATTGTCTTCAACAGCAAGAAGACGAAGCAACTCTGGGTCACTATATGAAATTGCCTTCACCAGGAAAGAAATGCTATGAAGTAGGTGTCATCATTACATGACCGTGGCGAGACGAAGAAAAGAGAGTATTGCTTACTCGTGAAAGCAGTCAACAGGAGTTACTGCAAAGACGAACAGTAACGGCTTGATCTCGAAGAATTCTTGATTGAATTCGAAGAGAGACTGAATAATGATGCACAACCAGGTGAAAACCATCGTCAAAGGTAACAAACAAAAGCATGCCACTGACTTATTATAAGTACAACGATCTGCTGCAAACACCCCGCTAGCCTTTTTTTCGAAAACGAAGGACAGAGTACTAGGCGGAGCTCTTCAACAAACCTGGTCCTCAAGCAAACATCAAAACAGATGAAGTTGAAAAAGATCTAGATGTTGACTGTACCCCATCAACAATTAAAAACATCTGAGAACTGAAGCGATACAACTCTACCGAAGCTTCTAAGTCCTGCGGAGACGACTGGATTGTAGTGGAAATCCTGCAGTGCAATGGTGAAAATCTCTCTTACCGATCAAACTGGCTTTTGACAACATCCGGTGAAAGTCGGTGACTCCTGAAGGTTGTAAGAAAGGCGTGATAATTCTGATCTTCAAGAGAGAAGTTACCGCCAAATATACCAGCTATTGAAGAATTACCCTACTGCCGGTGAAAGAGAATGTTTTCACGTGAACCATTCTGAGACTAAGAAATCAGGAATCAGTTCCGGACTCGGATATGCATCGAAACCAACTAAATAGACTTCCAAAGTGGTCATTCATGAGTGGATAACATCTCTGTGCTTTAACGCATCATCGAGTAGTGCAAAAGCGTCAAACTTTCCTGGTACAGTACATTTTTGAACTTCTGAACAACCTTACATTCAGTTCATCGTCAGATGATGTGGTCCATTATTCTTCACTACGAAGTTCCACAGGCAATGGTAAACCTGATGGAAGATTTGTACGAAGAGATTCAATGGGTTGTCCGAACTGAAGGGTTACTTTCAGAATAGTTTAACATTATCAGTGGAGTAAGTCAAGGCGAAGTGATCTGCGATTCAACATCATGGCGGACTATGTTATACAGAATCCGCAAGGGGTGACATAAAACCGAGAACGAGAAGGTGCTAACAACCATCAGTCTGGGAATACTATCAGATGAACTGCGGGTACACTCTCTGGTTTGGCTTGACTAAATGGCCAAAAAACAGAATGGAAATCTATTCGCAACTTTTCTTTCTTGGAAACCGCGCGCTCGTCGCAGTCGCGTGGGAGGACAACATAAAATGTTAAAATAAACTTGATGAGGTAGACCTTCTTATGGAAATGAATATGATCATCGCTTCAGGCGGTGAATTTTCCATAAATGACTCCTAAAATGAGAAGAATTCTCTAATATCAATCTAAAACATCATTAGTAACCGTCAGACATTATAAACCTCGGTCGCTCTGCAGTTTAAGCGCCATTAACCTCAGAAAACAATGACGACAAAACAACAACAAATTTCAAATACAGCTGCTAATTGACCAGCTGAAAAAGCAACAGAACAAAAACTAAGAAATAAAACTTACCAGAATGCGTCAAATTAAGCAAGGCAACATCTGTTAAAAGCAAAATTTTTCTCAATGACCCGTGGCCATTAATCCGCTTTCGATCTAAACAGAATTTGAATGAAATGAAATATACTGGTAACGCCTGTAGACCTTCGATCGAAAACCAACGGAACACTAATTTCGAAAACAAGAAAAAATAACGTAAAAATAAAACACAACAGGCTAAAACATTGACTTTGGTACAGGTCTATGCGTTTATTTTGTGAAGAAAATGTGATACCTTCCTTGAGGAAGAGCAGTCTGCTTTGTAAGAAGTGCCGAATGCAAAGTCCCTCATAATCATGAGCGATTTTGATGGGCATGTCGGAATAGACGGTGAAAAGTGGAACAGCGTGACTAGGAAAAAAAGGCCCTAGCGACTTCAACAATAACGGCATGAAGTTGTTGCGGTTTTGTGCAAACAACGATTGTCCATCATGAACATCTCCTAGCATCGAAGAGTGCATCAGTACACCTGGCCCCGGGAAACTTGTGCACAGAAGTCGATGATCGATTTGATAATCGTATCGTCTGACCTAAGATGCTCAGTA